TGATCTTGGTTTGGTTGCACTGTAGTGTTTTGAGCTGAGGTCATTCAGGGTTCATCTTAAGGCGTGGACAGTAGAAATGATTTGGGCCTGCTGACTGATGGGACCAAGTGGGTCTGTTCCAGTCTGGGTCAGTAAGACAATGTGAGCTTTCAAGTCAAGAATCTTTAATGTCATTATGGATAGCACAATAAAATTTTTTCCGGCAGCTCTCGGGTTAAAAGACAGACATATTATTTACATAACACACAATTGTAGAAGTCAATATAAAAATATGAACAAATGAAAAGGGATGTATGGGACCTAATCAGGTCAGCAGCATGTTAGCAGCAAGAGTGTAGTAACATTAATAAGGTGCAGCTCAGTGCAAATCTCAGTCTTTAGGAGGAGGTGTGAGGTGTTCTGTGTCTGTGCATAGGGAGAAGTTGTGTGTGTGACTGGGGGTTGTGGGGGGTGATTGATTTCACAGCTCTGGGGAAGAAGCTGTGTCTCAGTCTGTTTGTTTTAGTCTTTATATTCCTGTACCTTTTCCTGGAGGGAAGAGGCACAAACAGACTGTTGCCTGGGTGGGTGGGGTCTGCAGCAATCCGTCCCGCCCTCCTCTGGATCCGGTCAGTGTATAGGGAGTCCAGATCCAGAAGGACTCCCTACGATGCCCTGAGCTGTTCTCACCACCTGGGTCAAGTCCTTTCTGTCCTGTGCAGTGCAGTTCCCGTACCGCACTGAGACAGAGGATGCTCTCTACTGTCGCTCTGTAGAAGTTTTCGAGCAACTGAGCACGTTTCAGCTTCCTGAGCAAGAAAAGCCTTTGCTGGGCTTTCTTCACCAGGTAGGATGTGTTCAGAGACCAGGTCAGGTCAGATGCGATGTGGATACCCAGGTGCTTGATGTTATCTACTTGCTCCACCACCTCCCCGTGTATGAGAAGAGGAGCATGTATTGTCTTCCTGGACCTCCTGTAATCCACAATGACTTCCTTAGTCTAGGTTAGGTTGCTGTTCAGGACAAGATTGTTATCTGAACACCATCTTGTCAGGTGCTGGATCTCCTCTCTGTAGTGAGTCTCAGCATTGTCTGAGATGAGACCCACTACGGTG